GGCCTCCTGAACGGTACGGATACTCCTAAGGAACTGGTATGTAACTTGAAATGTACTGGTATGTAACTTAAATTGATGTTTTAAAAGCGTAATGTCAGTTTTTTTTTATTTTTTTTTTGCCTTTTATGTGTGTTGCTTTATGCTTTATGTTTTATGTTTTGTTATTTATGTCGCATTATTTTTTTTTACTGCCATTTGTTTGTGTAATCTTCCAATATATAACATGTAGTAGTAGTAGTTGTGCTTATTTATATATATATGCTAGTTTTAAAATATGTTAACAGTAGAATGTAGTAAAAAAAAAAGGAGATGTCATATATTTTATCTGTAATAATATTAAAATGTTAGTTGAAGGTCGGTACTTAAAAATAAAGTGAGTCGATACGCCACTCGTCTATCTCTTCACACCTCTCCCACTTTATAAATAATAAACAACATCAATTAAATTAGCAACTATAGCATGACAAGATAAAGTGGTAGTATTATCGACTAAACGATGGTTTTTACAATCAACAATTAAGTTATAATGGCTAAGAAAGTCGACACCAATAATTGGTTTAGTAACATTAAAACGCCACTGGTAGTTACGTCTAAGGTCTAAATCTAAGCACAGATCAATAAAGCCGTAGGTATCTGTGCCGTACAAACGGGTTCGGGTCCCGCGGCACAACCTACCCTTGAACTACGATTGCACCGGAGGGCATAATATTGTAAACGTAATGGGGAAATGGTACTCACCAGCTCGATGAATTGCGTCACCTCCTGCAGGTGCCTTGTCTCAGTCAATGTCAATCGAGTCACAGTCTGGTTCAGTCAAGTCTATAGGCCCAGCGATGCTGCCTGAAGATGTATCAGCAATTTCGAACGCGAAACCGAATTTAGCGACCCCGTTCGCTACCGAAAAATCGACACGCCTGTTGTGTCTCCGCGTTATGAAAAATGAAAAAATGAAAAACTCTTTATTAGACAAAAAACATTTTTACAATATCAAATGGGGCTCTGTCTCCTGAACTAATTATAACAACTGTGTTTTAGGAGACAGGACCTTCTCTTATCAATTATCATATTTAATTAAGAGTAAGTTGCTACATAACAAAGGAAAATATAATATTATAATATATATTACAGTTAATTTAGTGTGTGATATTGCATGTGTGTATGTTTGTGTATGGATCCGATTACGTGCGTGAGTATGTGCGTGTGTGCGTGTGTGCGTGTGTGAAGTATATGTGTGAGTGTGTGTATTTAGTTTTGAGTGTTTTTTCAATATTACTACTTATTACTGTAGTCCAACATTATTTTGCAAACTTATGTAAAGGATTTATTGCATTATTTTGAAAAGATTTTCAGTGGAATCATAATCAAGTGATATTAGCCATTTTATAATATACTTTTTAAATTTGAAACAACTCAACATTCCAAGATTTGTATCGCTCTGTGCCAATACCTGGTTGTAAATCCAAGGTGCAAGAAAATTATAGTGCCTTTGCGCAAAGCTGGTTTTGGTAAGGGGAATAGGGCAGCGGAATTTCCTTTTGGAAGAGTGTAGTAGGAGGGTAGCTGTGGAGCGATGAAACCTTGTAAGTGATTTAAGAATGAACAGCTTCCTAACAGAGAGAACTCGCGACTCCTCGTACAGTGCAGTGGTAGGATGGCGATATGGGAGGCGCATTAGTACCTTAAGTACTACTCTTTGTGCTCGTTCCAACTCAATCAGTCTTGTCTTGGGTACCCCACCCCATACCGTCACACAATAATAAATAATACTCTGACAGAGTGCTTTGTAGGTTAAGATCAGAGTTCTTTTGTTTGCTACATTTCGTAGCTGCTTAAAAATATAAATAAGTCTTCTCACCCGTGAACAAATGTGCGCGATATGTTCCTTCCAGCTTAGATTGTCATCCACCTCTATACCTAAATATCGAACACTTTTTGCTCTTGTAAGCATGTTGCAGTTGCATTTACTCGACTGATCTCTGTTACAAGGGAATGTATGAAGGGTAATAGTTTGTTCTTGGTTTGGATAATTGTTTTCAGATTTAGAAAAACAGAGATATTTGGTTTTAGCACCATTAAGGGTCAGTAAATTGTTTTCCAACCAGGCTGTCACACTCTTGAGTCCTGTTTCTGCAAGTTTATGCACCTGTTGCCAGTCACAACCATGGAATAATAGGACCGTATCGTCAGCAAATAGAAGAGAATGGGCATTGGATGGTAGCACATCTGGAAGATTATTAATATAGGCTAGAAAAAGGGTCGGACCTAAGTACCTCGTAAGTGCGTCACTTAAGGTATTATTTACTCTAATGTACTGTTGTCGTCGCTCGAGATAGCTCTGGAACCATTTGTGAACTTGGCCGCGGATTCCCATTGCTTCCAGCTTCGATAAAAGTATTGGTCTGGAAACCGTATCAAAAGCTTTTTTTAGGTATAGAAATACTCCAATTACTTTCTCACCATTGTCAACATATTGGTTTATCAGCGAGGTCAGTTCCAGAACTGCATCATCTGTCGATCTTCCTTTGCGAAAACCATGCTGATAGTCAGATAACAGATTATTTTTTTCAAGATAATTGATTAGCCTTGTGTTGACTAATCGTTCTAGGATCTTAGACATAATAGAAAGCAGGGAAATCGGTCTGTAATTGGAGACGTCACGTTTATTATCTGACTTGAAAACTGGCGAAATGATTGCAGTCTTGAACTGGTCTGGAAATATACCTTGTTCAAGACTTAGATTACAGAGATGTGTTATTGGGTGGGCTAGGTGTTCTTTTGATAATTTGACTAATTTACTAGTAATATTATCATAGCCCGGGGAACAGTCCGATTTTATGTCATTTATGATTTTAGTTATTTCATAGGGATCAGTAGGTGTAAGCGACATTGAGTAAGCATTTTTGGTATGCTGTGTGCTTGCTTCTCTTGCTAACTCATCTTCTGATTTGTTGAGATTCTGTAAGATGACTTCGGCTAGGTGCTGACCAATATGTGTGAAGTATCTATTGACTTTATTGAGTGAGGATATTGGCGTGTTATCAATGTTAAGTAGTTCATTTGGTGTTTCGTTTTTAGTTTTTAAGTTGCAAATTTCTTTTATAACTGTCCACTTCTTTTTGATATCTTTGTCACTATTCCGTAGTTTAGTTTCATAATATTGTTGTTTTAGAGATTTTATTAATTTATTACAAGCATTTCTGTAGTTAATATAAGTAATTTTTGCTAGATCATCGTCAGGTCTATGTTTAGTTCTAAAGTGCAACTTATCCCTCTTCCGTATTGATCTCACAATACCAACAGTGATCCAAGGTTTGAGAGGGGCTTTTTTTTTGGATACTTGTCTTGTGCCGGTACATTCTTTGATGACACTTTTAATAGTGTTCACAAGAAATTCGGCACTTTGGTTCACATCTTGAAGTGTGTAGTAGTAAGACCAATCGGTGGAGCTGATTTTGCTTAATGCCATATTGTAATCAATGGTTTGTTTAGTACGTTTGCTAGAATTTTTCGTAATACAGGAGTCTTTCACTTGCAGAAGAATAGGGCTGTGGTCTGTTAAAGGTGAAAATACAATGGTTTGCCATTCATTAGGTGTCATAAGCATAAAGTGATCAAGACAATTGTTTATTCTGGTTGGGTAAGATATTCCTTGTTGGAGGCCATGCGAAGCTAGGATACAAAGATATTCGTTTGTGAAATTTGAAGTTGTGTCTAGGGTATTGATGTTAATGTCGCCTGTCAATATAACATTTTTGTTGGAGATTGTACTTAACAGAGTATCTAGCGATAATAAATATTGTCGTGGATTCACAAAGCAAGGGGGACGGTAAGAACAGATTATTGAGTATTTATCAACATTAAGGACAAGAACGTTACCATCGGACACTTCGGGTTCATAGCAGACGGCAGATAGGGAGTTACGAACGTAGATTACTATGCCATCGTTTTGGTTTAATAGTTTTCGCGTGTAGTACACATTATAGTTATCTATGTTAGGCGGGGTCATCTCTTTCCTTAACCAACATTTGGTCAGTACTATGATGTCTAGTTCAATGTCAAGCCCTGCGATAAAAGCCAAAAGTAAATCAAAGTTACAATTAATGCTTCTGATGTTAACTGTAACTATGCGTAATTTTTCAGTATTATTTTGACAGTGTAATAAGCGGGAACACTGGGCGGTATCTTCAATTTGATGGCAGTTAATTTTATTTATATCCAGGTCTGTTGTAATTGACGTAAGTGCATTAGGTGCATTGAATTTTGTTATTTATGATACATTCGCAAGTTCGAGTCTTTGCCTTTATATTTATTGCAGGCGCATGATAATATATAATTATTGTATTGTCCAAACTCCACCACAATAAAAAAGCAATATTTGCGTAATTTGCCAATGTAACCAGTTTTATTCTTCCCACTATAATAGTGTATAAATGCTTAATAATCGAAATGTTATATAAAAGTTGTATAGTCTGTGTTGTAGTTTTGTGGTGCACATAACAGAAAGGTATTGTATAATTCTGTGTAGTATTGTATATGGTGTATGAATGACATATAGGTTGTAGTGACATGCAAAAACAATCAATAAAAAAATTAATTATAAAATAATAGAAAATCAAACAAAAACAAATCCTAAAATCTGTATGATATACTAAAATTAACATGCAAAATGATTGTAGCGGCGAGTAGGAACATTTAATCCCGAATACTATAACATTAAAGGGAATTAACAAACAAAAAATAAAATCCATAGCTAGTAGCAAAAACGTCAAACTAAGTATATAAACTTCGAGTCATAAATCTTTAAGTTTTAAAAGATCACCTTCACAGTCAATACGTGTTTGCTTGGCCCCTTCTACCTTTCGTAAATATATGTTACCGTACGAGACCCAGCAAAACGTATAGTTATGCTCTTTTGCGAATTGTCGACTCAAGTAAAATAATCTCCTGGCGTTTGATGTAAGTGCTTCGGCGATGTATATTGGGGTACGGTCTTCGTTAATTTTTATGTGGGTAGTATTTAATTTGTTGTTTGGATTCTTCTTATTAAATATCTTTGTTGCACTGATAATTTTGTCCTTAGTTATTTTGTTGGTAAAGTCCACAATGATCGGCTTATTATTTTCAGACTTAGTACTTAATCTAAAAATGTCTTTTATATGGTGCTTGTCGAAATGAACATTTAGCACCTTGCCAATATTTTGAACAATATTAAGCAGATCGTCTGCAAATTCTTTTTTTTGTAGTTTGGGTATGTTTCGAATTTCAACCGAGGAACACTTTTGAATTTTTTCAATCGAATCTAATTTATTTTTGAGTTCACTTATTTGTTTTAAATGTTCCCGTTTTTGATTATCTAATTCTGTCAATTTAGTGTTAAGATCATCGTATTTTTCGGATATAAATTTAACACTCGTATGCAGCTCCTGGTAATCGCTTCGTAGCTCAGTGATTGTTGTTATAATTTTTTCCATCTTGATTTCCTGGGATTCCTTCCACGAGTTAAGGACGCCCATGATATCCTCTTTAAATCCTTGTAGTTCCTCTCTAAAATCTTGATTTTGTTTTCGCTTAATTCCTCGGGTGCACATTTTGGCGGGAAGGTTGGCTGAGTCTAGGTCTTCTCTGCATGTTGGTATGTTAGGCTCAGAACCACCATGTTGTGATTCGATGGGAGCCTTAAGGCATGCATGAGGTGGCGATCTTCTAAGAGGCATAATAATTATGTTTTATTACAATGACGAATATGCTGTCCGAAACCCAACGCCATTATACTTTTTCGAACTAGTCAGGGCGCCTTGTTTATTGCCCGTCCCGAAGCATATTAAGCTTTGTGTCTTTGCAGTAAGAGCGATAATAGTTTGACAACTTATCTTGGTAGGTACTCACTCAGCAGAGACGCGCGGAGGGAAGTATGACGGCGCACGTCATTCACGACGCTCTAGATCCAAACATACTATGCGCTCCTGGTACTCGCGACAATACTTTGCTTTTATTTATTTTTATTTTTATTTATTTATTTTTAAATCGTGTAAAATTAAATACACATAATTACAATATATACAATGAACAATAATAACATGTATTCTTAAACAAAA